TCTCTCTCTCTCTCTCTCTCTCTCTCTCTTTCTCTTTCCCAATAACTGTCTCTTTCTCTCTATCTGTCTATCTCTCATTCTCTTTTTTGTTTCACCACCTTTCCTTTCCTCTCTACTTCTTCCCGTCTCTCTTTCCTTTCCTCTTTAATCTTCATTTCTTTCTGCCATCCCCTCTCTTTTATTTTCACCTTCTCTCTCTCTCTTTCAGTTGCACCGCACCCCACCCCCCTCTCTCTCTCCCTCTTTCTCACATACACATGCACACGCACACACAAACACACACACACACACACACACACACACACACACACACAAACAAACAAACACACACTCTATCTTTGACCCTTCATTTCCTTTTCCTTAGGATAAAAACACGCACAAAAGGCTAAAGATAGACAGTTTAAATAAAACAAGAAACAAAAACAATAAAATCCAGGGACAAAACGAGAAAAAAAACCCGTAAAAAGGTACCTTCTAACCACAGAAGAACAAAAAGAGTTTTGTTGTTTTCCACAAGAACGCCCTAATCAAGGTCGTGTGTGAGTGCGTCTTTGAAAAGAAAAATATATTCATGAACTTTGCGTCCACCCCAGTGGGCTTCCGCCGTATTCCCTTTCCGGGGTCCCTCCTTACGTTCGGCTTTCTTCCCCCAGCATGCAACGGACGCTATGGCCGGAAGTGCCGACATGCTTGCGGCCATTGCTACGGCAACCAGCTTTGTGACCACGTGACCGGTATCTGTGCCAGCGGCTGTGCCCCTGGGTGGACAGGCGTTCGCTGCAAACAAGGTTGGTAAGTGGGTAGGAGCAGTACAGTTGTTGGAATAGCATTTTTTTCTGTTTTTTCTTTCTGGTTTTTTTTTTTTTTGTCACTGCCTATCGCCCGCTGCCTGTCTTGTCTGTTTATCTGATGGCCTTTTGTTTTAGTTGGAGAAGAGAATTTGTTTTAGTGTGAGGTGAAAAAAAGAATTTTTTTTTCGTTTGAGGAGAAAGAATTTCTTTTAGTTTAAGGAGAAAGAGCAAGTTTTAATTTGATGGGAAATAATTTATTCAAGTTTGACGGAATATTATCAATTTTGGTATGACAATGAGGAAAAAGAATTTGATTTAGTTTGAGAAGAAAGTAAAGTATTTTCTTTCAGTTTGAAGAAAGAGAACTGGATTTAGTTAGAAGAAAAAAACTGTTTTAGTTTAAGGAAAAAAACATTGCTTTAGTTTGAAGAAAGGGACGTTTTATCTTGAGTAAAAAAACGTGTTTTTGTTTGAGGAAAGTCAAGAGCAGAGCATTCTCAGTTCTGTTATCTAGCTCCTTTGGCTCGCAATCAATCACCTTCTATATAATATTATACAACTTGTATTGATCTTTTGTTTATTGTGAATGATCAGAAGAGTGTGCTCTCTGTCAGAAGAACGTTTTAGTTGTTGAACAGGGTTGTCTTTAATCAGACCAATTCATTTCCTGTCAAAGGAATGTCTTTGATATCGGACGAATATATTTGTTAAAAAATACACAACTGCTTTTGTCCATTTGGCATCAAACTGTTCAGACAACACGCAGTGAAAACTAACTGTGACCGATGTTCACCATTTAGTCGGGAACTAGGCACTGAACCAATCACGATATCCTTTTCTTGAAACCATTTCGAGATGAGTAGTGGAATAATCTCTCAATGAAATAAATGATTCAAGCAAAAAGGTTATGTCGTCAATAGTGAAAATGCATCTTTCTAATGAATGTCATTGTCGCTGCAGGTTGCAAAGTTTTAAATTCGTAATTTGTTACAAAAGTCATTGTGGAAGAGGAAAACAAGATTATTCCAAAAGTCGAATTGTAAAAAAAAAAAAAAAAGTAGAATTCTGTCTGGAAGACAAGTTATTTTTACAGTGTAAGGAGTCAGTGTGAATTTCCGTACGTAGGTTAATAAGTATCCAATGTGCCTCCTACTTTTAGAACAAAGTAGAATATTATTGCTATATTCCGTCAGCGTCGTTCCATAAGAGCGTAAGTCCTTTTTTTTAAGCTTCAGAAACACTAAAAAAATGGAGGGCGTATAATCATTATCATGTCTTGGATACTCGTTATTTTCCTATTAAAACTGAAAGGACATATAACGCAAAAGAAGGAAACTACTATATTGAAGATTCCTCTTGCTGTTTTTATTCAAACAACGGCTTAAAAGCCCCAACAAATTCATGTTGGAGACTGGATCGATGCTGAAGGTATGTGTAGTTAAGAAACATATTGTACGATTTACAACTCTGACAGTGGGTGATTGCGGGGTGCTGTGCTGTGGTTTGTTCATTCTTTGCTACCAAATAGACAATATTATATCATCATTATATCTCTTTCTTCTTTTCTTTATATGTTTCTCTAAAGTACATATTATTTTATGTTTATATATGTTTTTGCTTTACATGTTACTCTCCAGTATCACCTCTAATCTCCAGCACTTATGTGATCTATTTTGTGTTACAAGTACTGTAAAACTCCTTCTAACACTAAGACACCAATGCTATGTGTCGTGTGTATGTGTGTGTACTCAGAGTGTGGCCACGGCACATATGGCGTGGACTGCCGGCATAGATGTCACCACTGCTTGGACAACGTCACCTGTCTACCTCAGACTGGAGTTTGTCCTTGGAGGTGTGAGCCCGGCTGGACAGGAGACAGGTGCGACACAGGTAAAAGCACTTTACTTCGTAATAATACATGTATAGGTGTTTTTAATGCCCCTCACCCCACCTTCCATTCGACATAATTAAGATTATTTAGGAGGCAGTCTTTAAACTAAAAAACCCTGCTAAGCTGCAAACCCACCCTCTGTATTAAAAAAAAAAATGTCACAAAGAGTAAATGCAATTAGGGTCTTTAAAAAAATTTCCTCGTTTAATCCAACATCTTTTTTTAATGGTAAAAGCGAACCTTAACGGACAGGGAAACTATATAGGCCATTCCCTGACCTGTTTTTGCTTAGTATATTTCTCTAATTTCGTCCTCCTAACAATGCTGCCTTCTAGGTTGAGATTGACTCCGAACAAGTTTTTCCTCACACATATCTTTTAACTCTATTGAAGACATGGCAGACACATGTGTTCTATCAGTAACTGGCCAAAAGCAACGTTGTGACACATTTCGAACCGTCATGTACAATCACAAAGGCATCTGTGTATTTAATAGCATGTCTGTTGTTGGCTGCCTTTTTTGAGTTTCAGATCTAGAGAACAGACTGGAAGTGTAATCTGTATGGATAATGAACTTACAATGCTTCCTTTTGAAGTACCCCTAAACAGCGCGTCTCCCAGCTTTGACGACTAACCAGAATGCACGTCCTCAATGAATTAAAATATATCAGATAAGAACAGAAATAACTTACCACTTTTAGCTATGACGTACGAAAAGATAGTAAGACATGGAATAATATCAAGAGGTTAGCCCAGGATAGGGACAGGTGAAAAGTATTTGCTCATGGCCTATACCCTGATACAGGGGGAGAAAGGCAGTGAGAATATTTATGATGATGATGGTGGCAACACTGATGATGATGCGATAATTAATTTACCCAGTTTCTATTGTGTCTATTTTAGTGTAAGAAATATTGTACATTTTCTCCTATATTTGTATTACCAGAGTGCAGCCCAGGGAGGTACGGGCAGAGTTGTGAGTTCCCGTGCGGCCAGTGCTATGAGGGGTCAGTTTGTGACAGGAGAGAGGGAATCTGTCCTATAGGCTGTGAGCCTGGATATGAGGGCCTGTTCTGTACCAAAGGTTAGCTTTGTAGATGTCTGTCTGTCTGTCTATCAATCTATTAATCTGTCTGTCTGTCTGTTCTGTACCAAAGTTTATCTATCTATCTATTTGTCAGTCTGTCTGTCTGTATGTCTGTCTGTCTGCCTGCCTGTCTGCCTGTCTGTCTGTTTGTCTGTCAGCCTTTTGAGGAAGGAAGCATATTGATATGCTGACGGTGCACTTGGTGCTGTGAAATAACAAAACATCCAGACAGAAACAACAAGAGAGGAAAAGTGACAGAGCTTGCTCCAATCACCTGATAGTCAGTTCTGATGACGTTGAGATGACAAAGAGTCAACGTGATTATGGGAACATTCAATTTTTTGGCCCATGTAAATAATAACACAAAAGAAAGGGTGGTGACTTTTAGCTAATGAGAAAAAGAAGGCTACGAGAAATTTACCAAACCTTGTGGGTGGTGAGTAGGTTTAACTCTCTACTTTTTGTATATTCGTTTTGTGCGATGAGAATAAGGTAAAACTGATTTAGGATACGTAGCTTATTTGCAGGAACAGGAACCCTTGCTCATAACCAATGCTGAATCAGTTGATTTGTGTGCTGAAATGATTGTTTGCCTGTGTGTCTACCTGTCTGTTTTTGGTTGTTTTTTTGGGGTTTATTCTCTGCTGAAAAAAGGAGGAGCGGGGATCGTCTGGGTCGATAACCCTCACAATCATTGCAATGATAAGGGGTTGGGTCTTTCTACTGTCTTACTAATACAAAGAGAACACATTTACAAGGTTTGGATCTGAAACCAGCAAAATAGATTTGCTTCCCATTCATCTTTTTTTTTTGGCTGTTTTTTTTTTATTAATCGATTTGGCATTTTTCTTCCCTTCTTCTTTCTCTAATAGAATATCTAATTATCTATGTTATCGTTTTCAGTTCTTTCTCATAAAATATGATTTTTATTCCTTTATTCTTTCTTACTTTCGTATCTATATTTTTCTTTTTCATTTCTTTATTCATTCAACGGAGACTAAACATAAGGGTACGGGATGAAATGGACGAGAAAGTCGTTGGTGTGGTCAACAGTAATATGTTTAGAGTAAAGCTCTGAAATCTCTCGTCACCCGACCCGTACTGACAGAAGAGTGAGTTGCCTTTGCTGTGGTCTGAGCCAAGGTCAGAAAATGTGAGTTCCAACCCTGTATGGGGAGGTTGTAATAGAGCATCATCATCTGATCTCTGGATCGTCGTATCCGGTCAGCAGCGTTGGCCTTGACCGGCAGGGTCGAAGAATTCCGCGTCCTTTATGATTTAACTTGTGTCAAGGTGGGCGTTAAATACTTGTGGTACAATTCATTTAATATGTGGATTTAAGAAACGAGGCTTAACCGCTATAATTTTATCCCCTCTACCAGTGAATAAGTTCCTGTTTGTTTCTTTTTTTTTTCATTTCTTTTCTAGTCAAGCCAAAGAGAAATGAAACATCGTCTATTACAACATTTGATGAGTGGATTTAAGAATGAAGGGTTAACCCTTATCACATTTTCCCTGTTGTTTTTGTTTGTTTTGTTTCTTCTACTTTTCTCTCCTAGTCGAAAGAAATGCAAAACATCGACAATCACAAATTTAGGAATACGTGGATTCAAGAAAAAGCGTTCACCCCTTTTCACCGTCATTTACAAACACGTTCTATGTTTTTTATTTCTTGGGGTTTTTTGGTGTGTTTTTTTGGCGGGGGAGGGGGTTCTCTTCCGGTTGAAGCGGGTGTTAAACATAAAAAGAATATATTTTGAAATAAGTGGAATAAAGAAAGAGCGTTCACCCTTATTATCTTTCCACCTCCACCTATCAACAAATTCTGTTTTTTTTTCTCTTCTCTCCCAGTCTGCTCCTCTGGCCTTTGGGGTCCCAACTGCCGGTATAGCTGTGGTCAGTGCGCCAACTACTCCTGTGACCGGGTCACTGGACATTGTGACGTCATGGGCTGTCAGCACGGCTGGATGGGTTCACGCTGTGACGCAAGTAATGACCCCATGATAATGATACTATTGATACTGTATCACGTCATTATACTCAGTTCACGTTTGTTACATTTGAGTCAATTGATCCAATACTTTCCTTCATTGGGAGGGGGGGGGGGGGGGGTGAAAAACTGCAGTTTTGACACAGCTTGATAAAACTTTTCTTAAACAACCTTGCTTGATTTTGGAGGAGGATCTGATCAATTTGTTGTGCCTAATTTAAGAGCAGGATAGCTTTTGCCCTTCCATGAAGAGAATAACTGGCTGGGCTTTACTAAGTACGTACGGTTGAATTCAATTTACAGTGTGCACTGAGCATTGCAGTTTGCGTTTTGATGACTCGTGGTCGCATATTGGTGTTTAGTCGTTGTTCACATTTCACGCTGGGGTTGTGTTTTTTTTGTGAGTATTTTACGGCCCTCGCAACTGCATAAGGTCATATGAGCGTTCGGTACATATTAGACTTTTTCAGTTGGTAGCAAATTTTTTAATTTTGCCCATGTGGTGGCCGAAGCATATACTCGTATCGATTTTAGACCCCCAAGACATCTTTAACGTGCGCAACTTGCATTCGGGCCCTCCGATATTTTTCGCCCTTGTCAGAGAAAGGCTACGTGTAGATCTTTCCTACCAGAAGATCAGGGGTGTGGCCGAAAGACAGCAGTAAGAAAGAACCAAGGAGTAGCAGTAGAAAGGCTGCAGAAAGAGTCATGAGCCCAGAGGAGGGGGCAAATGAGGTGAGGGAGTGAGGGCATTAAAGAGAAGAGGAGACGAGAGCAGACAACAGAACATTGCTAGAGAGCAGGAAAGGAGGTGAAAGGAGACAATTTTAGAGCAGAAAATTTTTCGGTCGCTACCCGGATTCGAACCCGGGACTTTTGAATGAGAGGCCAACACCTTAACCTCTAGTCCACAAGAGACCCTTTCACGCTGTGAACAGCTAGACATACGACTGAACATAATTAGAATAGTAATACCTAAAAATGATACTGTTACCTATAAATAAATAATAAATAAATTAACAAATAAATAAGTCAATCAACTTTATATAGATAGATACATAACGAGAGAAATTCCACTGTATCGATCCTCGGGATAATTTGGTTCACAATGACGTATTACTCGTAAAACAGCGTTTATCAGACATACCTAAATATATAGATACATAAACACGTGTCTGTATACATACACGCATGCATACGTACGTAATAGGCAGTGCCCATTGGAGGATTTGATCGGCTCGACTCGGGTTGGTTTGATTCAGTTCGTTGCGGTTCGGGTCAATTCGATTCGGTTTCTGGCGGCTTCGGTGCACACTTCAAATAGACCCCTGCTCAGTTGTATTAAATGACCCAGAAGTTAACAATGCTTAACGTTTACTGGAAAACTACACCCTAGTATAATGTCTTCTAGGACTGCTTGTCGTTTATGACAGTTTCTTTTTGTGGCGTAGGGGGCCTAATGGTTAGGTTACCGGACTCGTAGTGGTGAGGTTACGGGTTCGGGGGTTCAAGCCGCGGGCCCGATGTTGTGTCTTTGGGAAAGGCACTTTAAAACGAATTTTCCTCGCTTCACCCAGGTGGGAAGGGGTACCTGCCCATAGACAGCGTAAGATCTTGTCAGTATATTTGTGTTTTAGCGCCTATAAATGGCCGTTTGCACTGTATGCTTCCAAGGAAGTTGAGGTTGTTTCTGAATAATCTTAGGCCTGCTGGAGTAATAGTATAGATTGTGAAGCGCTTAGAGTTTGCGGATGAGTGTGGATTTGCGCTATACAAATGCTATCTATTCTTCTTCTTCTTATTTTGCGGTGTTCTCGAAACCCATAAACTGGCTAGCGTCTATTTGTTACACTGGCACTGCCCAAGACGGCTAATTCTTGTCTAGAGTGACCGAAATCGAAAATAGATGTTCGTTTCGGACAGGTCAGACTGTATAATATCCATATATCGGAACTCTTTCTACTTTTAAATACAGTGGGGAAAGACATAGCTTCAGACTAACTGATAGACAGATATGCATTCAGACAGATAAAGAGGCAGTCAGACAGACATATATACAGGCAAACAGAAAGACTGACAGACAGGCAGACAAACAAACAGACAGACAGACAGACAGACAGACAGACAGACAGACA